GCAGGTGGGGGGGGGGGGGGGGAATTACCTGGGAAAGACCATTATATTTAGTCACAGATTAGGTCAAGTACTTATGCTTTCAGCAGGGTGCTCAGACACCGAGACAATTAAGTCCAAGTAATTTAGTCACCCTGTAAAAGGATTAGAGTCTCAGTATAGAGAACTAGTAACTCTTGTAAAACTTCAGTTTGTTCCTTTAGTACTGGAACAGAACGAGCCTGCAAAGGGAGGGTTCTTCCTTCTACCACCAGCAAGCCAGACTCCTTGTTACAGGACAGCATCATTTTTAGTAAGACAGCAGCACCTGCACAGGCTTATGTTACCTTTGAAATAAATATCAGGGTTTACGCACCAAGGAGGGCAAGTACTCCTTACTACTGGAGCTTTCAAGAACACCTACATGAGTTTTAGTCACACTTATAACTACCACACAGTGCTTCCACCACACAGACCCTTGTTTTTCCCCCCGTTTTCCATCCTTCACCCACTAGAAGGAAACACTTGACTTCAGAGTTTAACATTAGCAAAAAAATAACAAATAAACATCACTGGAAACTGACCCTCCCCTTAATCCTAACACTGCGAGAACAGGGGTTGTGATGGCACCCGTGTACATGTTAGTTTAACTAACTTTGTTAGGGTAGCATTTCTCACCATGTTTCACACATTAGTATTGACTCAGCGACAAACAAATAAGAGGTTCTAGGGCCAGAACCCAAACACCATCAAGTCCAAACCAAAGTGAAACTTAAGAAAGAGACGCTTACTTGTACATCACTGATAAAGCACTCATTTCCAGCTGGCCAGCACTTTCCTATGCAAGATTATGAGATTACATGAGATAGCAGAGCCATTTTCAACACTGAGAAGTCTATTCTAGCTCTCTGTAGTATTAAAATATCTAACCAAACTGATCAGTTTGTTAAAACAATCAATCAATGCATTGAGAGTTGAGATACTAGGGTTTCCGGGGGCAGGGGGGCGGGGAAGTCTGCAACCAAGCTGAGTAAAATGGAGCTAGTTCTGGCAGCGACTCTTGAACACCACTCAAGGTACTTTTTTTTTTTTTAAATTAAAAACACTAAATTTGTTTCAGAGACTGTTGCATTCACCATACATATTGGTTAAAGTCTAAAGAAATAAAAGTTTGAAGTCTAGTATTCGAATCTGAGGGTAAGGGAAGAAGCAAGGGATTGCAGAGCCTGATAAACATTTGATGTGAGGTACACTCCACATATTTTGCTTTTTCCTTCTTAGAGAAAAATTGCAATTAAGAATAAGGCCCACAAGAGGCCTCAGCTTTACTGTCCAGTCTGCATAAATTGCTCCTTTGCAGCAACACAAATTCCCACTAAAATTGATACTGTTTATACCTGTGATTATTCAGTACAAACCCATAGTATTACCTACGCAAGTGAGACCCCAGGATTGGGGTCTCTCTAAGAAAAAAAAAACAAACAACCCCAATCCACCGCATTTTAAACCATCACCTAATTAATTTCCTGTCCTAGACTCCTCAAATTTTAATCTCTTGACAAGTATTAGATCCATCTTACCTTTGGATCTCCTAGTCGTTCAAGGTATTTCTCAAATGATCCTTCCACATACTTTAAACAAAACAAAGAAAAAAACACATATAAAAACTTAGCCAGTTGGAAAGCAAAGTTAAACATAAACTTTACCCATACGTTACTAGCTGTTGGACGGGAGGAGGCAGGGCAGGGGCTGGGGGCATAGACACCAAATTTGGGACTAGTTTGCCAACTGCTATCATTTTTGGGTTCTGAAGGGCTGTGGTCTAACAAGGGGTATGACTTCAGCTGTTCCCTGCCTTAGAGCATGGGAATGATTTGGGGTACCAGTGTGGAAGTACCAAGGGATCCTAAAAAAATTAAGAGCATGAGTCTGAAAAATACTCAGTGACTCATCTCCCTCCTAGGTTAGATAAAGCACTTAACTGTGATGGGTGCGGGGGGGGGAGGGGGTGTGCAGGGGGAACAAAACACACACCAAGAAAAAACAAAAAAAAGCCCAAAACACCCTAACACCACAAAAAACGGTGCTGTGCATGCACCCGCACAAACCGCTGCATGCCTGTGGCCACGCTAACTGCCACACACAAAACCAACCAAACAAAAAAAAAGCCAACCCCCAAACCCCATGACTTTATGCAATGATTAAACATACTCTGGAGTTTTCCACCATTTTTTGATGTTTGTTTCTCACTCCAAAATCCTACATATCTCCTACCTACTAAATTCTGCAATGGTATCTCCACAGAGAATATACTACACAAATAACCATCACCTTACTGGTTACTTGGGTGTTGGTAACTTGCTTGACTTCAGGAACTTCAGAAATACAAAGTCAAATAAAACTTGTGCGATTACAACTCGAATGAATTAAGCGAGCAACCACCCTGCAGATTCTCTTCTCTTACATGCATCAAGCCTGGCAAAGCCTGACGTGTTCTCAGTGCATATGTTTACGTGGGTATGTTTACGGCTAAACCGCTCACCCCCTCCCACAATACTTCCGAACTACGTATGCAAAACTGCCTAACGCACGCGTTACTTACGGATTCAAACTTAGGCTGGTGTTGCCTTATGAACGCGACACAAGCTTTCCTGACTTCCATGTGATGAATTTGAGATGAAAACAGCTGAAAAAAACGAAGGTTATGAAAGGACGAAGTCGACCGCGGTTTAATTGATGCTTCGCGTTAGCCTTATTTTCCTCGTAGTTTACGAGGACCAGCACCGCCACAAAACACTTCACGACACAGCGAGAGGACAGGCTGCAGGGGGGCCACGGGCACTTGGGGAAGAAGCTGAGGGAAGCCCAAGCGACGCAGGAGCCCGCCCGCCCCCGTCCCC